TGAACATTTTCAGAATATCAGCAGCTGTAGCTTTTGTCTGTCTTTCACCGTATTCTTTTCAATGGTCTGTTCTTTTGTGCAAGTTAAGTTTCTGTCTCTCCACACAAGTGTGTGTGTGTGTGTGTGTGTGCAAAACTTGAGTTTTTTAACCTCTGCAGAAAGATTTCACGTATGTCTGTGAACTGTGCTGATGTGGATGAGCTCATTCTCAAATTGTTGGACATAGTGTGACCATTCTGTATATGTGTATTCCATTTGAAATGATTTTTTTATCATGCAATTTAGTAGCCCTTTTTTTTTTTTTTTTTTTTGGTCTGTTTGCTTGCATTTTATTTTTTTCCTTGGCTTTTTAAAGTTGTGGTTATCGTTTTTTGTAGTCTTGCTTTTTATGAAGAGGAAAGTGGGTTTGGACGTTGAGCATGTTTCATTACGTGGAGAAATCTGAGGAGTGTCAGGCATATGCTTTTTTCATGCTTTGTTTATTATAGCTATTTTTTGTTTGTTTGTTTGTTGTTTTTTTCTTTTTGTTTTTTTTATCACTCATTTCATCGTTTCATTTGAGGGAAAACACTCACTGTGTCATTTCAGACATGAATGTTCTTTGAAATAATCCTGTCGCCATGTTTGTTTTCATTCTTATTTATTATCATCTTCAGTCACAACATGCCAATTTTTTTTTTCCTCATTTGTGTATTACAATAAAATCTTTTGAACTGTTCAATGGTTTCTTTGATTTTTTATTTTCCGTGAGACTTTTGTGAACAGGTGAATGCAGTTTCTGCAATATGTGCATTTGATTTAGCAGACTAGGTTCACACATTTGATTCTTGATGTTACCTGGGTTCCTGGAAAGTCTTCTCTGACTCAGAGGTTGATGTGCTGCAGTAATGCAGGGCTGCCCATCATTACAAATTTGGCGTAATCGCCATGATTTTAATTCAATTTTACGAAAATACGATCGTAATGCCCTTGATTCCAATTTTTTTACATTTCGGCTATCTCAACTGACTGCCAACCTTCCCGATGTTTAAGGGGAGAATAACTACCAGACCTGGACAGTCTACGTCACTACGAGCCTGTCAAGACCGCTTTTTTTCATCATGCCTTTGTTTTCCATTACTTCTATACTTGCCGGGCTACAACCCCTGTCCTTAACACCCCAGGGAAGGAAGACTTTCCATGGTCATGTTACGAAGTTTTAAGCCTATTACTAATTCTTTATCTGCTGATTGCCAAAACATGTTGGTAGATGGGCAGCCTTGGCAATGCATGTGTCTGAATCCACGCCATGGTTTTGCTTTAGTACCAGACTTCTTCTTCAAGTCCCAGAATATGGGTGGTTGGCAGGTGCTCGGGTATGGTTTGCTCCTTCTTTCCCTTCAAACATCTATCGTCCTTATCTCCGCCCCTTTTTCTTGTTTATCACTCTTGAAGCATCTCTTTAGTTTAAGAAAGGTTTTACAGAGCTCGCAGATGCATAAGGTCATATGAGCACTTAGGGGTGGATGGCAACAGAGAAGTCTTTACAGGGAATCTGGTTTTCACTGCTCACCTCAACAGCATAAAGTCTGCTTCTACTATCAAGGCACCCCGGAAATAGCAGTTCGCAAGAGAGTGATAAGCATATAAAAAGAAGTAGAGGTAAAAATGACGATGGTAAGGATGAGGAAAGCAAAAGCTGTAGTTCCCCCTATGTTGTTTCCGCACAGTATGAGCATGACATTGATACTTATAATATGATCTTATTTTGTTGCAAGTTCCGTAAAACTCTTAACTAAAGCTAAAACAAGTGTCAGATCTGAAACAGATGGGTGATTGTTCACCGTTAGACTCGCCTCCCATTTCTCTGCTCAGATAGTCGAAATAAAAACCTGTACTGTATTATTTGTATTATCTAGGCCTTCCTAAGCCAATTTCAGTCATTTAGTTAGTGGTTTATATTATTGGCTGTTGGGCTGTTCCGCCAGCCTCATTCTCGTCCCAAGGAAGGCGGTACAATGAGGTGTGACTGTATAGACTGTTGGGCTGGCAACCAAAAGGTGGTA